CCCCACTCACACGTAAGCTTTTATAAAGATGATTAACTGTTGAATGTAACATCTCATAAACTAAACAACAGTGCTCACAGCCAAAAAAAACTAACAGCGAAGGTAAATACTTTTGTTATGGATTTTCAAACATTGCTGTTTATCTCCTCAAACATTAGTAGTATGTATGCATTCAATTAAATTATTCATTAAGTAATTTTTAGAGCCAAATTAAATTTTTATGTGCACTTCATAAAAATACAACGCAAATCAGATTTTGAAATCAAACCAATATAAATATGTAACGAAAATAGCAAACAGAAATTGATGCATCATACGGTAATATAAATTGCTAAACAAAATGTATTAAATTCAATTATCAATATTGCCTAAAAATGAACAGACATAGTCGATGTGCTAAATATGTCTCGCTATAAATTAATCATTTTCAATTTGCAAACTTCAATCAATCAAGTAAATATTCACATTTAATTTCTAAACAACCTCAGTATTTTTCCTCAACTATTAAATTTTGACCTTGCACAAATCGCTCATGAAAAAATAATGCATTAATAATAACCTCAATTTGCTTGGAGCATTTATATCATATGCTAAATAAACACCGTAATGTTTCCAAGTACGATCTATAATTATGAATTGCGAAAAGAAACATTAAATTTTTTTTACAATAACGAATGAATTTATTTAAAACAAGTTATGGGAATTATTAATGTGCTGATGTATTATTTCGAAACTAAAATCACGATTTTATTAATTCAATTTATTGGTATTATTACACAAATTAGATTCAAGTACATTCCAGTTCCATGACACTTTTAAATATTATTTATAGCCTGCTATATGCACACGCCATTATATACTTATACATTTATAAAAAATCTATATCATATATCAAATCCTATATGTATATGATTTTTTTAATTATTAATGTATATACGTATATAAATACGTTTAAAATTTTGTACGTTTAAAATTTTTCATCATATTTATTTCGCAATAATATCTAATAAATTTATTCTGTGAATAATTATAAATAAAAAATACCTTTTTTTCAATATTTATATAGACATAAAAGAAATATCCTGCACAATATGGTAAAATATTCAAAATTCAAAATATTCAATATCTATTTATGTATTATACAAAGCAAAATGTTATATAATTATTTAGCACATTTTTTAAACTTCTTTAGCAATTTTTTTTAAATCAGTGTTATTCTTATTAACTTAGTATTTTTGTATTGCTCAATTGCCCCCTGGCTGTCCCATTTGAGGTAAAAAAGAACAGTTAAATTTTTTTATAAAAATTAACTAAAAAACATTTCTATAATTAGGAATTAACTGGAAATTTCACTGAACAAAGTTTTATAGTTGTTTGTTTGATACTTGTTATGTGTTGTGATGTAGTTCATTTGGTTCAGACAGTATAATTACTTGAATTCAAATTGGACTTTTGTGCCC